TCAAAGTTACAGCACTGAAAAAAATGGACTTAATAATAATAATAATAATAATAATTTTATTTCTATACCGCCCTTCTCCCGAAGGACTCAGGGCGGTGTACAGCCTAATTAAAAACAGAATAAACATCAATTTAAAATAATTTAAAAATATTAAATAAATTTGGCTTAATTTAAAACCCCAAAAATTTAAAACATCCAATTTAAAATTATATTGCTAACCCAGCCTGGCGGAACAATAGGGTCTTGAGTGCGCAGCGAAATACCCGGAGGTCAGAAATCTTACGAATTTCCGGGGGCAGTTCATTCCACAGGGCTGGAGCTCCCACAGAGAAGGCCCTCCCCCTGGATGTCGCCAGCCGACATGACTTGGCCGATGGCACCCTGAGGAGACCCTCTCTGTGGGAGCGGACTGGCCTGTGGGAGGCTATTGGTGGCAGAAGACGGTCTCGAAGGTACCCGGGTCTTACAACTTACAACTACTTACAACTACTCCTCACTTACAACTATCTCAGCGTTCCCATGGACACACAATAAAACTTTGGGTACTTGGCCATTGGCCCATATTTACAACTATCACAGTAGCCCATGGTCACATTCTTCTGTTCTGTATGACTGTCTCCACTTCAACTCCACACATACCTATCTCCCCCCCACCCACTGCCTTTTGACCACCCTGCACAGAATGGCAGAATGAATATGCTGCTGTATTCTGCTCCTGGTGCTGCCAATACTTGATTCCTCTCCTCCTTGATATTATTTTTTTCTTTTTTCTGCCATCACCTTGCCTTGTCTCCAAAGGGCTCATCAATGCTAGCCAGCCTTAGACCCCATGATATGGGGATTCTGTCAATGCTGGACTCAGAGGCAACAGCGAGGGGCATTATGGCAGCAAGGACAAGTGGTACCAGAATACAGCAGTGTCTTCATGTCTGCCAAGCTATGCAGGGTGGTCAAAAGGGCAGAAATTGGGGAGAGTGGAGAGATAGGTGGGTGGCAGAGTTGAAGAGGAGGCACTTTGCACATATCAGAGGAATTGGCCCTGCCTCTCACTGCCACCTCTGACCCCAGTGTTGACAGAGCACCTGCACTGTGGGTATTGAGGTCCATCCACAGGAAGAGATGCAAGGAAACACCAAGGAGGAGGAAGACAAGGACACCGCTGAGTATAACAGGGAGGATGGTCCACTAGGGGAATGGAATATAGTACCATCTTCATCTTAGCCATGCTGTTCAGGGTGGCCAAAAGGGCACAGATGGAAGGGAAGCTAGGCTAGCAGAGCCAGTTGAAGCAGAGGTATTTCATGCAGGGCAGGAGAAATGAATTGGGTTTGTCTGTGTCAGTGATTCCCTGGAACTATCACTTGCTTTGGAAGAACTGAAGTGCTGGACTAGGAGGTTCAACACAGGAATGGCTTAGATGGAGCAGGAGCTGTTAGGAGGCAGGAGACTTAATTGCCATTTGTAATCTTCCCAGCCAGCTTCTGACAAGCCAAATTAATGGGGAAGCTGGCAGAGGGTTACAAACCCTGGTCATATGAGGCCCTTACCAGGCACTGGAGGCCTCCCAGTGATAACTGGGAGTACTGAAACTCCTGTGTGGTCATGTGATATTTTGCTTAACAACTGTTTTGCTTAGTGACAGAAATTCCAGTCCCAATTAGGGTCATAATCCAAGGATTACCTGTGAGGATACTCTTAAAACTGATTAAGATTATTCCTGACTGATTGAGATGGAGGGTGAGTATATGTTTCCTATGTTTTATGACAAACTGACAAGATGGAAAGTAAGACTGCTGCTCTGCAGGTAAAGAGGGCAATATAAGGATATAGGTTAATTCTATTTCCTTAAGCAGGCAAGATAGAAGCATTTTTGTGGAAGTACTATTAAATTGGTTTTCTAGGAGTGCAGATGTATGTTGTATTTAGCCAAGGTAAATGTTTTCCTACCAAAGGTAGGTCAAAGAAAGGCGGCTGCCAGAAAAGGTATAATGACAAAGTTGGTCTGATTTTTTTTAATCTATGTCAAATATTTATTGTTTTATCTTTGAGTTTTATCTTTTCAATGTATAAATATTTCAAATATAGTGAGGATAAGGCCCCAGAAGTTCAGGTTAGTCTTGCACATCATGATTATATCCTCTGAAGTGCCATAAACTCTTTTATAGAAATTTAAGTTCTAACCCAAATTTTTCAGAAGCTATAGTTAGACCACTACACAGTATATATAAAATATCTGAAATACATTTTTTAAAAAAGGAAAACCTGAAGAATTACATTTATTTGTTAGGGTTAGTTCTAGTCAAATTCAATTACAATTTCACACAGTATAAATTCAATGGACTAATTTTGAATTTTCACATATGGTTGTTTATTTCTGGACCTTTATATATATAAATATATTTATATAAATATAAAAATCATTGCTAAATCTCATTCAAACAATTTATTTCAACAGCCATTTATACTCTCTCTAAAAACAATTGCATAAACTTTTTTAAAAATGATTTTGTGTTGTTTTTATTGATTAAATATCAATAAAGCAAACCAAATTCTTGTCAGAATAAACCCTTTGGATTTTAATAAACTTAAAAAAAAATTCCTAGGAGTATACCTGGCTGAACAGTTAAATACTCTTTCAAGGAAGCATAAATAGGATTACAATGAAATATATTAAACTTTTTTATTGTACAATACTATTTGTGTAAGTTTTATCTAAATATTTTGATACTATATTTATTTGGATTTTGTTTTACAGTCCATGGTTTTCAGGCTACAATTTATTACAACCCCCACCCCCACAGGGATCTTACTGATCTAACTAACAATAAACTCCATAGGATAACTATCATTTTATCTTGACTTACTTGTCAAAACGTATGCTACTGGCCATTCCATAGATGGCACAGATCTATCTATACCTATTGCAGAGGTATGGAAGGGAGAGGTATTTTTGCTTTTGTACTTTTTTTCCCCTGGAAAGCATTAAGGCACTTCTTTCCTTTGATTTAAAAAAACAACAGTGAGAGAAAGGAGGAAAATATATTTATTCCCAAGGCAACCCATGGGCTGTATGAGATGATGTTATCTCTACCTTTGATGGTTGTTGTTATTTTGCAGAATATCTTCTGGTCCTCCTGTTACACCCCCCCCCCTTTCTGTGCCCTGGTGAATAAAACATAAGCAATCCCCACCTGTAGAATCAACACTTGCTGCTATTGTTAAGTGGATTTGTGACAAATACAATTACCCAAAGGGAAATATCAGAACCAATAGCAGGACTTTGAAAAAAGAATGCTTCATAAGAAACTATAATTAGATACAAAAAAACTAGCCTGCTTTTATAAAATTATCACTTTGTAAGATTAGGAATTATGAAATAATACACTGAGTATTATATAACTATTCAAACATTCTCCATTTACAAGAATTGAGGAATTGCAAAATAGTAATTAGAACTGCCTAGAGTAGCCCCACAGTGAAGTAAGCAGCAAATAAATTTAATAAATAAATAACCAAATATAGCCAATGTGCTATTAAAAAGTGTCACTATTATCAGTATTCGTTTTTTTGTATTTGCATTGAGTCCCTTGATGCATGTCTCTTGCAGTTTCCATTTATTTCACAAATTTGGCCCACCAGTATTTACATACATACATGCCCAGGCATACACACACAGAGAATATTTGTCTGGGGTTCTTGAAGATTTACATTACATTTGCTAAACCTAGTTTGCTAAAAGCAGAAGAGAATATTATTAACTAAAATAATATTGATTTTATAGATTTTATAGATTTTATTAAAGAGCAATATATATATTTTAAATCCTGCGTGCCTAAGTGTTAGAATCATCCTCTTAGACCAGACATATCTATTGCTGATAATTTTATGATCTTTTTAGGATAGCAATTTAAAGATGGGGTGTTTTTTTTTTGTCAGTTATCAAGAATCTCCTTCCTGTTGTCTAGGATTAATAATGCATTTTTAAAGCACATTCAACACTCGTACGCTTTGCCAGAAACAGAAACTCTACACTGTAGCTCCGAATGTTATGTTTGGGGGGGACGGGGACGACGACGACGACAGCCAAGGTGAGTTATAGCTTAGCACCGCCATCAGACAAAAGCAGTATTTATACAGCTGGATTTCATTATGGTTATAATACACGGAGGCGGGAGTGGAGAGTGATCACTCGCTTCCAGCAACGCATACAGACGGGAGTGCGTGCTCTTTACACAGAAACACGCCGAGATCCCCCCCCACCCTTCAACCCACCTCCCGGCTGCACCGCTGAGGGTCACACGGCGCAGTCCCTAACCAGGGAAACGCGCCCTGCGCGGTTCACAAGTCAGCCCCCCCGGCACAACGCTCAGACGTGCAAAGGGGCTGCCATTCCTTTCCCCGCGATTCCCAGATGGGGGGCCCGGGAACCGCCGAGTTTGCTCAACCGCAGCGGCGGCGGCGGGAGCAGGTAGGGGAGGCTCCCGCTGCAGCGCGCCAACGTCTCGAGGCTGAAGGCGAAGAGGGAGAGAGAGAGAGAGAGGGGGGAGGTCGGGGAATCCTGGTCCACCCGCCCCCCCCTCAAAAAAAATCAGAGCTGCTCCCGAAAAGGAAGGGCAGAAGGCAGGCAGGGTCCCCAGGGCCAACAAAGCCCCCTTCGCCTCGGCCGTGTCCGGAGCGAGCGAGCGGGCGCCCGTCCTTACCCGACGGAGTGGCACCGAAGACTCTCACCACGGGCACCTTCTTCACGGGGGCCTCCCTAAAGGAGGACTGGCAGGGGTCCAGGCCGGGGAGCGGGCTGCTCATGTAGTAATCGGCGGTCACCACCCTCACTGAGAACATGTTCGCCGCCACGAAGGAGAGGCGCCGCTGAGGGCGACCACTGGGCGCACCCCGAGGCTGGGGCTCGGCGCACCCGTCCGCAGCGCGACAGCGCAGCCCCCGCCTTCTTTCCTCAACACGCCCGGCGCGCGCGCGCTCCCGCGCTTGGGCGAACCAACGGCCGGGCGGTCCTCAAGGAGGGGAGAGCGAGACGCGCACGCGCTGCGCCGGGTCTCCGCTGTTTTCTTTCTTTTCTTTTTTTTTTCCCCTCTCTCTCTTGTCACCAGGATCGAGCGCCAACCGGGACGAAGCTCTTTAGAACGAGGCGGACCGCGCGCGGCTCGTCGTGAGCAAACCCCACTCTGTCCCGAGCTTTCTCGGCTGCGGTTGTTGTTGCCATGATGATGACGTCATGAGACGGCCACCTTGGGGATGGGGGGGTGGCGGTTGGGGAGCGAAAAAGGTTGGATTCTTTTTTTTTCCTCGCGTAAGCAGCTTCAGCTCCAAGGCGACTTTAATAACCGCCGCGCACGTTTGGGCTTAACAGAATCATTGCTATCGATAGTTCGGCTTTCGAACTCCAAGGGCTGGGAAAAGTTATACGGAGAGCGCAGTCGCGATTAGGGACGGGACTGATAACTTGTAAAGAGATCATATTTAGCCGCCATTTCAGAAATCGAGCCCCTTTAGCTCAAAGGGAAGGAAGGTGAGTTCCTCGGGCGCCATGGAAGGGCATTAGAGGGAAATTGTGTGAGGAGCAGAAGTCGTGGGTGAGGGAATAAGACCGGGCAACGTTTCCTGCGCGCGCTTCTCTTTCTCCCCCGCCCCCTTCCTCCCTCCCTTTTAACTGTTCCTGCCGGAGAAGAGAAAGATGAATGGAGCGCAGCCTTTAGGATGCTCGCGCGAAGGGCGGGAGTGGCAAGAAGGGCGGGGCCTCAGCCGCGCGCTGCGGAAGAGGAACGTGCTGCTCGGGATTTTCCCCCCCCCGCCCCCTCAGCTGCGGAGCTCGGCGCTGACAGCTGTTCTGCGGTGGCGCGGGAACTTTGGGGGCCGCCAGCCAGGTGGCGGTACAGTTGTTAGAGCCTGCGCTGAACTGGTGGTTGTCTGAAACCTGCCAATCGGGGTGACAAATCAGCGGGGCCATCGGCTTTTTATGGGAGGGTGGTGCGCGCGCTGAATACCTTCTCTACAACAAAGCGACGCGTGCCTGCACAAATTCCAATTCGACTACATTACGGAGTCCAGTACCCTGAGGGTTTAGAAAGGGTCAAGTGCCATGCATTTGTCATGCTGGCCCCTTGGCACAACGACCGTCGAACTGCAGCCATTTATCGGAATTTAGAATTCGTATATCTGTTTCACTGATCAATGAAACCTCTGGCTGTATAATATTTTCTTAGTGTTTGCATAATAAAACTGTTCTACTGCTATAGTAATATATATATTACTAATTCACCACAAATTATATCTATTTTTCTTTTTCGACTTTTTTTTTTTTTTGCTTAATGTACACCTATACAGATATTCTGCCTTTGTTTAAGAAAAGGAACATTCTGTGATAACCGAGGCATTGTACAGAACAATATTATGTTTTTCTAGTTTGGAATAATTTATTTATTTATGCAACAAATACCTTAATTTGGTATTTGGTATCTTACATATGTAAGGTATTGATGATAGATGGTAGATAGAATAAGGTTATTGTCACTTTGAATGTACACTAATCAGCATACATTAAAATGAAATTTCATTGCATACAGTATTGTTCATAAATGTTCATCAAATATAAAAGTATGCAGAATGAGGAGAAGAGGTACAGTTTTGAGTGGTTATACCATGAAAGTGGATAGAAACTTGAAAGTACATGGGCTTTGTTTACCCAAGACATTTAAGGTTAACCTATCCATAGTTTATTTAACAAACTGTTCTGGAGTCATTCAACTATGAACCATAAACTAACCGTATGGATTGGGTTCACACTGAATATTTGGTTAGAATGGCAGCAACAGGCTGATGTTCTCTAGGCTCAGAAACTGAGCAGGTTTGGGACTGGTTAATATTTGTATGAGAGACCAAATAATAGTAAGGCTGTATGGGTTGAATTAGGAAGTCGTCAAAAGCACCTTCCTGAAGAACGGGAAAGGCATTTCCATACTGCTACTAAGAAAACTCCATAGTTATATCCATTATCATGCTAGGGGTTGTATTGGGAGAAGTCAATAGAGAATTCTCTATTTAATGAGAAATAAATTCAGTATATTGTATAAACATAGTCATAATGCAGTCTGCAGTCTGGTAGTCTCTAACTAAATTTTCTTCTCCATGGATGGAGAGAAAGCACAGTCTCGGAGGAAAGCTGACTTCATATGCAATATTTACTTTTTATTGGAAAAGGAATAAATGTGTCAGTCGCGATTTTGGGTTTGCTGATCCCAAGCTGTTGTAGCATCTTAATACCTCTCTTCCCAGCAGTCCTAGAGATGACCTATATTAATTTTCCTTGTATTCATCTCAATGCAATGGAATTTATTTTAACAGAAACATAAAAAACCCCACCTTCACTGAATCCAGACTATTTCAGGCATCAGGGAATTCCCACTGGAAATAACTTGCACAACCTTACATTTTTTATTTCTCAGTTTTGAACATATGCAAACTTGCTTGTTTATTAAATAGAAATTTTTAAAAATAATTTTGTGTACAGTAAAAATGTAATTTTATTTATTACTTAGCAGCAAATCCTATTGTACCTAAAACAAAGACCTCTGTCCATTGCCCTTCAGAATGTCTAATGTGTGTTGCTAGGCAACAATCCCAATAATGAGCTGTAAATTTGAATAAGCTACCGATATCAATCAAAGAAAATAAAATAGCTTAATCTTAAATATGGATATTTCTTAACTACCTTTTTGCCCTAAATGACCTCTAGATTTCCACATTATATTAAAAACAACAAAGCTAAGAGCACCAGCAAATTGAGATTTAAGTCCTCTGCCAAAATAGGTGATCACTGATATTAAATTAGTAACTATAAATATATCAGAATAGATGTATTACTAGGATGCAAAATGTTATATTTTTACTGTAGAAATGCTAAAAGGATACAGAGACCTAAATTTCTTAATATTACAGTATCTTACTAGGGGCTTGGCCATACACAACATACTACCACCTTAATACCCCACCCCTCTCCCAGGCAGGATTCTTTATAGTAGCCTTGTTTACCTTTTGTGTTCTTGGACAAATGAACACACTTCCAAACAAAGCACCTTCCATCTTTATTGTTTGTTTGTTTTCTGAGAAAGTTATGCGTCTATTTAGCCCAGAATCATTTAAAAAAATAAATACCCTGTAAGCTGTTACTTTATTTTTTAGCTGTCTTTTTTTTTTTTTTTTGATAATTAAAATGGGTGAAAGCTTGGAAAGCCCAGGGGAATATTGTTCAGTCCTATTAATTGATAAATACAAATTGCATTAAAAAAGAAACAGTCTTACATAATAGATGGACTCTTCTATGTCAATTTTTATCAGGTGATTTTATTCATTCATAAATATACCTAAGAATTCTATATATATCAATACAATAGTGACGGAAGGAATATTGATTTTATGTTTGGAAATGTTAGTATAGTGTCTATACAATGTATAATTTTAGTTGCAATATTTAAAAGAATAAAAACATAAGTAGCCATTTTTTCCAGTGTTTTTAGGTCTTGTTTCAGCTTTTTCATCAAGTACACTTACCTGTTCTTCCGAGGAACCACAAAACCATTTTAAAGGAAAGTCAAAGCAAAATAAAAATTAGTGTAGTCTTTGCAGCATTGCCTTCTTAAAAATTGGGCTCATGAGGAATCTGCAGTTGTACTGTCCTGATTAGAAAATATAAGAGGGCATGTGGATGGGGAAGCCTGATGGGCTGTCTGGGTAGCTTTGAAAGTCATGAAGACTAGAATAGAGGCACATAGAGAATAGTGCGAGTTATGGGGGAAGAACATTCACGGGTAGCTTATAGAAATTAGAGTCAAGCAAGATGCAAAGGATGTAAGAGCTGTGAAACAAGTTGTGTATGCTGTGGGCCACAAAAAATAGTGCTGGTCAAGGGGAAAGAAGGAGAAACCAGCTGTAGAAAGTCAGCACCCACCTACCCTCCTAGAGAATGAAATATTTTGGGGAATATTAAAAAGGCAGAGTAGAATATTTCCCCTAAAGGAGACATGGGGAAAAAATTTAAGGGATTCAGAAACCGGCACCAGTCTCCCTGCCCCAAGCAGAAACTGAGGAAATCCAGCTTTTAGAAATGCAGATTTGTTAATTCATTAAGAAAGACTGGGTCAGATGGATACTCCAGATAAGCAATTAGGCAAGACAAGATTAGCTGCTCAGACAAACACTTAGGATTTGCATTTCCCCTTTTGCCTATAGAGCCAGCCATGACTCCTATACGACCCCATAGAAATCAAAAGGTATAAAAACCCACCCTACTCTCAACTCCCATTTTGTCAGCTGTCCAAGAACTGCACCTGTGTGTGTTGGTACTGTTCATCAATAAACAGAATCTTTCTTTCCAATCAGCCTCCGTTTTATTCCTGGCTTGGAAATGGAACTGGATTTTTCATCCAACACAGCCCAAATATCACGGTTCCAATCCAAGCCAGCAAAAGAAGAGGCCACACTCTGAGTAGAACGGGTCTCTTTACTAAAGTCTCAGCTTGGCATGTGGTGAACAATAGAGTAAAAGGGTTTTTTAGCCAGCATTACTGGCTTTTGCTAGCCAGCTGGCTATACGGACTCAGGACCCTCCACCTTCCTGTTCCTGGTTGCCTCCTGGCCGGCTCCAGCAAGTACTTTTCAGACCTGGATGGCTTCTGAACCGACCGTAGCTGGCTCGTCTTCCTGGCTCCTCTCCCAGCGTGAGTCCCATCACCCAACACCCATCCTGGCCCCATACATTCCCCTCCCCCTACGTGTATGTGGCAACTCTGAAACAACGCATTGTGGCCACTGAGCGGCGCACTGTCTCGGACATTGACAGGCGGCCCTCTCTACCAAGCAGAATCTGAAGAGAGCAAGCATATGCACAGATTAGTGGACCTGCAACCCACCCCAGGTGTCCTGCCTGGGCTTCAAGGGAGTTTCCTTATGAAACTTGTTGGTCAGTCTTTCCGCCCGTACGTCTTGGCTCCTCACCCATAAGGCCTCAGCCATGGGGTACCCTTTCCAACAGACTAAGTACTGCAGGACCCCCTATGCACCTGAGAATCTAATACTTGGCCTATTTCATAGTGGGTGTTCCCATCCACCATTATGGGTCTGGCTGGGTGTGGGGTCAAGGGTCTACTGCTTGATGCCACCACCGGCTTCAGCAGGCTGCTGTGAAAGACCGGATGGACCTTCCCCAGTAGGGGTGAGAGTTTTAGCTGCACTGTCATGGGGTTGATTATTCTGACTATGGGGAATGGACCCAGGTATTTCAGACCCAGCTTTCTGCAAGGCAGCTTCAATTTAAGGTACTTTGTGGAGAGGTAGACCTTTTCCCCTACACAGAATAGCTTTTATGGTGACCTTTTCTTATCCGCCTGGAGTTTTTGGGTCTCACCTGCTTTTATCAATGCTTGCTTGACATTCCCCCAAACTCCCTCAGGTTATCTATCCACTCCATCAGGCTACCTAGTGAGGGGACCTCCCGAGAGAGCTTGGGAATAGGGACAAAGTCCACCCCGTGTACCACCTTAAAGGGTCTTCGCCCCATACTGCTGTGTACAGCATTATATGCCACCTCTGCCTGATGTAATCCATCCTTTATTGTAATTGCTTCGTCTTGTACTTGATTAATTTTCTCTTTAATGGCTGCACATTTTTGTTCTTGCAAAAGGCATTTCAGTTCTTAACAGTTTTTATTTTCTGTTGGTTATCATGAATTTCTTCTTCTAATGTAGAGATGGCCACTGATTCATCTACATTTTCAAGGTCTGTAATTTATAAGTTTGTTTTTCTCATTGTTATCTGCAATTCTTTTTTGTGCTGCTGCTGATGATCAGTCAGATAGCCAGCCAATAATGCTGGCTAAAAAATAATTAATGATGTTCCTTCTGGTCTTTCTGCTAGGCTGATATTTCTCTTCCTGTGATTTTACCTCAGGCGTGTATCATCTTTTAGTCAGAGTCTGTGTCAGTGTTTTTTATTTGGATTTTTGGCCCCTTGGGAACTGGGGAGACATTACTTTAGACCCTGGTTTGCTCAATTTCCATAATCATGTACTCATTTGCATTCCTTTCCCATACATAGTAATTCTAATAAAAAATGTTTCTTCAGAAGAAGGAGATTCCTGGTTCATGGTTTAAGTCACTCTTGGATTAAACACACAAATATACATAAATAAATAAAGGGAGGTCATGCTGCTATATTTTGTAGCCTGCCAATATGTATTCTATTCATGCTCTGTGTTAATCGAGTATTCAATAGCCAATTTACATGCATACAGTTCTGCAGAGAAATCCAAGATTCCTGCATTAGTAATACCGAAAAAACACTTAATATTGAATCAAAAAATTCATAAAAATTGTATTTTTTCAATCAAAAAGGTAAGGTAAAAGAGACAGAAAAAATCTTGGTAATTTTTTTGTTCAGGACCACTTTATTGGTATATATAGTGTTAGTACTTTACAAGGAATATGGCATTAGTTATTTAATATTGTTTATGATCCTGATGTGCTATTTATTTATGTTACATATTTGTACTATATAATAAAACAGATACATAAAAATAGACAAATGCTATAATTCCGTGATGGCGAACCTATGTCATACGTGCCAGAGGTGGCATGCAGCACCCTCTCTGTGGGCACACGAGCAGTTGCCCAAGTTCAACTCCGCCATGCATGCGCGCATACCTCCTGCTGGCCAGCTGGTCTTTGGGTCTCTGCCGCTCATTCAGGGGGGACGGGGCATGCACGGGGGACGGGCGCATGCACGGGGGGGCGTATACACAGGGGCCACCCGCACATTGCATTTTTGGGGTTCAGACACGCGCGCAGATTCGGGGGTGCGCACGCACTCTTTGGCCACTCAGTCTGGAAAAGGTTAGCCATCATTGCTATAGTTACTTCTCCTCAATATTATCAGAAGTTCAGGATTGTAGAGGAAATAGCAGTTACACCTGCTTCTCTCATTGTCATAAGATATCATTCATCATGTTGCCTTCCATCGCATTCAGATTTCTTTGACCTTTTCTTGATTGCAAATGCCTAATAGCTAAGAACACATCAGACATTATTATGCATCTTGTTCCGTGTTATTAGTTTCCATTTCATAACGTGGCTTTTTGTGTACTGATAGAATTATGTTTGGAAAACCTTTGTTGTTAATTATTTGCGTTTCTTAACTGATTTATATGTTGTTACTTCCTAAAATTTTTGAAAGCTACCTATAAATGAAAATCACATACAACAATAAAACATTAAAAATAGTATAGTGAGGCATTGTGTGGGTTCTGAATTGAATACTGTCTCTCTAGGTAACCTGCTTCCAGTTAAGCTGAATTCTGTGCCCTGAAGGTGTTGGAAAGAGGGAAGGGCCCATTCTAGTCTGGAGGGCAGGCTGTTTCAAAGGGAGTTGTTCTGGTAGAAGTGGGGGGAAATCAGCCATTGAAGCAACTGGTCATGGAAACATTACTTGCCCTATGCTTAAGTGGACTGAATCAATGTCAGATCAGAATTCAGTTCTTCCAACAGCCAGTTGATAAGCTGTATTATATTAATTTTTATTGCACCCAGAAGCAGACAAAAATCTAGCCTTGGAGTTCTCAAGTGCTTGGAAATGACAATATATAAAGTATTCATCTGAATGGAAGGTACACTAATTTGGATTTTGCTTTTTAATTTATCCAGTCAAAATGTACACCTGAGTCAGAATGATAGTATGGAGTAAAGCCAACATGGAGGCAAGCTAATTCTTTTCTGCTGGTACTATGATACTATGTGCAGAGATTATCTACTCCCAACAAGAGTCCAGTCACTATAACAACCTAAAGCAGCTGAAATTGGAAGCAAGTAGTAGGACAACAACTTATTTGATACTCTTTATTGCTGTTCAGAAACTCAGCCAACATTTCTATTGAACAGTGTTATCAGTGAATTGGGTTCTAAATAGAGACATAAATTTAGAGGGTTCCAAGTTTCCAATCTGGAAATCTTTGGCAGATAACATGAAAGTAGTGTACCATTTCCTCACTGTTCTATCCTAATATTTTGTGTGGTTTCAGAAATACCTAAAATTATCCTTGGTTTAATATCAGAATAAAACAAGGTTAGAAAATCACAAATTGGCTATTGGCTACAACTAATAGCTTTAATACAGTCTCATGAATAGTATGCATTATGCTGGGCATGGGGAACATTCATATGTGCAACTTAGATTTAATCTTAAAATATATGTGGTTGATATAATTATTTTTAATGTGTATGCTTTTCTACTTATTTTATTTTTCTTCTCCATTAACGTTACAATTTGGCTGTAAGATTTGGAGGTACTCCCAGAGATATACCCAAGATTTATAGAATGTTGTGCAACTTCAACCTAAACATTCCTGTCCATTTTAGACCTTGTTATTGTTTATGATGTCTAAAGCAGCTGTCTCACCCTTCGTAAAACTTGGCATCATTTTGGAGTACAGTATGTCTTATTTTCCATATCCTTCTCAATATCAACAGTGAACTGAAAGTTTATGTAGAATTAATAGTATTTATCTGGACAGTAGTTATTTTGGGATTTTGAGGAGGAGGAGGAGCAAATGATAGCTGTAAATTGGCAAGAATTAAAATTTAGATCTAGTGAATAAAAGGGATCAAGAATTTGCATTAATTTTTCATACAGGATCCCTGGGTAAACAGGTTGCATTAGAATCTGTAGATTAAAGAATAAACCCATATCTTTTGTTTTTGTAAGTCTTACCAGGGCACAATAACATAAATCTGTATAATGTGCAAAGAAACTTGAGTAAGTTAATGGTCATGGCTTCTCAGTAATGAGACAAATTTAAATATGATCTGCTTCTATGTCCTCACTTGAACTTGCAGGACTCTCATATCTGTAAAAGATGACAACTCTTGCTATAACCAGACCAATATGAATGACTATTTTAAGAACTGGCCAGCCTCCTTATTTAGCCATGATAGAACTGAAGGGGTTGTTTGCCATAGCTCAGCAATAGGCTATAAGAAATCCTAGATATAATTGTGCCTTCTCTAGAATATAACAGAATAAATTTGGCTTGCAAGTAGTTACTACTTGCCTTCTGCCTTCTGCCACCAATAGCCTCCCACCGGCCAGTACACTTGCACAGAGTGGGCCTCCTCAGGGTGCCGTCCGCCAGACAATGTCAGCTGGCGACCCCCAGGGGGAGAGCCTTCTCTGTGACGGCGCCCACCCTCTGGAACAACCTTCCCCCAGAGTTACGTACAATAACAGACCTCCGGATTTTTCGTCGGGCCCTGAAAACCTATTTATTTCAACTAGCTGGGCTGGCTTGAGTTTAATTTTAAATTTATTTTAAATTGGGTTGTTTTAATTTACAGCCAAAATATTTAATTATTTTAATACTGTTTTTAAATTTTGTATGCTCTGTTTTTACTTTGGCTGTGCACCGCCCTGAGTCCTTTTTGGAGAAGGGTGGTATAGAAATTTAATTAAATAAATAAAATAAATAAATAAATACTTTTAGAGTAAAATAATAGCAAAACAGTATTAAGAAAATTGTACTAATAACATAATTTTTGAAATAGATATATGCCTTTTATGTTGCTTTCTGTAAATTAAGAATGAGGATTAATCTACCCACCTTCCTATCTAATTATCTACCTACTTATAAATATATTTAAAGCCACATAAGATGCTGGCTTGTAAGATGATTTATCCATCTAGTTCATTATGGTCATTACTGCATTTATATATTCTGCTAAAACACAGTGTTGTTTTTTTTGGCTTAGTATGTGAACATTGCTGGTATAGCTGGTAAATTATAGATTATTATTTAGCATGTTGTTTGAATTTAGCCAGTTGATATTTTTTAACAGAGTTGGGAGGGATCTTGTAGGTCATCTAGTCCAACCCCCCGCCCAAGCAGGGGTCCCTACACCATTTCTAACAAATGGCAGTCCAATCTCTTCTTGAAAGCTTCCAGTGATGAAACTCCCACAACTTCTGAAGACAAGCTGTTCCATTGGTTGATTGCTCTCAGAAAATTTCTCATTATTTGTTCTATAAATCATGACTGAACAGGCAATAAGTTAATATGATGTATCAAATACAGTCTTTACTTTCACATCTTTTTACCTAAAAGTGCCATACATTTCTATTCTATGTTTCAGGCTGAAGCTATGATCTTAGGCTTTTCCATGGACGATTTAATCAGGCCCAAGGTCTGTCCCTATTTTGAAAAGTTGAATTCACTGGTTAAGCTTTACTACATGCAACCAACACGTGAAAGCAGTACCGTCTGAGCAACAAGGCTATCTGTTTGATGGTAAAAAGAGAATACAAACAGAAAATCAGTTAATATAAGCACCTCTGTATTGTAGCCCTCAAATAGATGGCAAGGGTTTTTAAAAACATGCTACTTAATTCTAGTAAGTATCATACTATTCAGTCTGCTTTGCCTAGAAAAAAACAGTCCCAGCAGTACCCCTTAGCCTAACTAATGCTACAGAGATATTGAGACAATAAAACAATAACCTTGACCGATATTAGTCCAGAGAGCATTATTCTGCAAATTGCAAAAAAGACTTATTTATAAAACAGGGGGAGTGATATAAGCATCTGTTTTGCTTCCAAACTGACAGTCTCTAGACCACCCATGTCTGATATTAGAGGCAACTAGTGGAGATCTTGTATAAAATGTTAAAATAAACAGTTGTCTCCCTAACAGGAATGTTTCTCTTCCATTAACTTCATAACAATGTTTAAGAGACACAGGAATTGGGAAAGATAATATAATGAATGAAAAACAATTTCTTGTCACACCTTATTGCTTTATTATAATACAGTAAAGGACTCAGGATTGGGGCTGTGTTCAATCCCATTTTGAACTCAGTATTACTATATGTCAAAAGGAAGATGTTTTTGAAGAGTCTGTTTTCATTTCCTGTTTCCTGAAACCCCTTTCCTGTTCAGGTTGAAAGACTCAATACTCTGCCATTTGGTTTGGTTGCCTTCGATCCTTCTCAGGCTAATGGAGCCATTCAACCCATGTCTTCCAAACTCCAACCTCAGAGACCTCCAGAAAGCTGGAAACCTCCCTAGACCATTTGCCATTTTCATGGCTTAAAAAGCGGTCTGTTCCCCCCCCCTTCTTTCTGAGCATTTGGAGGAACTTTTTTAATGGAGAAAATTGTTGGCTGTTAGCCATCTTGAATTTTAAGCAGTAAAATGAGGTAAACATTTAAATAATATATAGATAAACAAGTCCTCACAATGTATCATTTTCTGTCCTTGAAATAAACTGCTTATTATCTGACATATGAGTTTATATGATTATATGCCTTGTTTCAATAATTCCAGTTATTTTTTTGGATTGAGAAAAATATACCCGAGGCATATCTATTATATAACTTGGGAGGGCCAATCTTATATCTAGAACATACAGACCCCTTTGTACTCATTTTGCACCGCTGGGGAGCACTTTCAGGTTGTACTACTGAACAAACAAAAAGGTTATGCCTTAAAGAGTAAAGGCCCCTGTGGTGCTGTTAAATCCAGTGGTGAAATCCTCCGCGGTTTGCCACCGGTTCACTGCCCACGCATGCGCACCAAACGCACACTGCGTGCACATGCACAATGTATGCCAAATGTGCACTTCACACGGAAAAAGGATACTTAACAAAGTAAGTAGAACAGCAAGGGGGGAACAGCTGTGCCGCACTATTTAGATTTGCCAGAAAGCAGGATTTCCTGCTTTCTAGCGGATATAAATCACGCAGCACAGCTGATCGTCGGAAATACTGATTCGGACCAACCGGTACCTTTTTTTTCTACCACTGGTTCGCTGAATCAGTAGCTTTTATCACTACCAGTTCGCCTAAACCGGTTCGAACTGGTAGGATTTCACCACTGGTTAAATCCCTTTAAAACTCAGCTCCACCTTTTTTTCCAGCAGTCAGGGCCAAGTCCAACCATCTACCCATCTTTTGTTGCCTCCAGGCAGAGGGGCATGGTCAGTGTCATCACTGAAGTGGTTAAGGGACACATTTTTCAGTTTTTCATGTATTGAGACTGAGAAATGATTTAAAATAGCTGCATGGAGATTTGATGGCTAAAGGCACATCTTATACTACCTTAAAGCTTTTCAAAAGGCTTCTAAAAATGCTGATTTTGCTTTTTCATTTCAAAAAGTGAGGAGCAAAATGCCTTTTAAACATCCTATACTATAATTATACCATTGGCCGTGCTCCTGCCATCCCTGAAGGCCATTTTTAAACCTTTAAGTCTTGTTGACGTGGTAGCTATGTATTGTTTAACCATGATGCAGGATATAGTCCAAATACAGGAATTATGAATAAAATAACTTTCCCAAGAATTGGAAGTAACATTTAAAGAATTATTTTTCCCTCAAATAATAATAAAAACTTGAAAGTGTGCATTTCTTGTGGCCACCATCCCCCCCCCACAGTACTTTAAATTATGTTCTGCTTTGAATGGACATCAGTGGTGGGTTGCTCCCGTTTCTGTCCAGTTCTATAGAACCGGTAGTAAAACCGGTGGGAGGCTCCGCCCACCTGCCACGACATCATCATGGGTCATTGCGCATGTGGAGAAGCTTCTGCACATGCGCAGAAGTGCACACAAGCGGAGCAAGCGAGCGCGCGTGCTCCTGCTGCGAACTGGTAGTAAAGGTAAGTAGAAGCCATCCCTGATGGACATGATAGAGATTTGAAGTGTAGGAATAGAGAATTAAGTGATAAACTGAAAAACAGTAGCATGTTGTTGCTGTTCATTCTGATTTAGGAAAAGGAAAGCTTTCTTTCTCATGTTTGCTTCTTTGTGATGAATTTGCTATGCATTGAGTGATGCCTGGGAGATTTGGTGTTTATCTGCTAGGATTTCCAGGAGCAATTGAGAAAACCCATTATGCATATTTATCACATGATCCAGTTCATTAGACAAATAGATGAGGGAGAATAAGCTATCCTCCTGGAAGACTCTTCAGAGTTCCTACACAAACTGTTTACTGACGCACAGTCTTCCTTGGTGAGAGAACAATGTATTCTTTGGTAGTGAAATGAATGAGGCAGGAAGTTCATTCTCTCGTTTTCTCATTCAGGATCACTGAGAGGAAACACTCAAAGAAAGATGTCTTACAAGGAAGCTATTGAGAATTGACATTCTGGTGGCATAAATCACTAAGCTAGCTATGAGACAAAGCCTAAATACTTATCTTTTCCAGCTACAGCCCATTTTACTTCACAGCCAGCCAAATTTGAAAAAGCAATCTTAACACTTAGACCAGTGTTTTTCATCTTTGACAACTTGAAGATATGTAGACTTCAACTCCCAGAATTCCCTAGCATCTTGACAGAATTTGCATCGCACTCGCGGATCAGGCTCAGCTGGGCTTTGTCTATGAAAATAAAAAAAGCCAACAGCATTTGCAGAGTCATGGTCGTGCTAGAAAGCTTCTTTGCAAAAAAAAAAAAAAAAAAAGCTCTTGGATTTTAGCTGTCCCAAAAAAGAAAAAAAGTCAAAAGCAGTCCCAGAGCCATGGCATCTCACAAAATCCTTTTGCAAAAAGTTGCTGAAGTGTAGTGGAAATGCACGATCTTACTTACTACCTTACTGAGACTCGGAGCTATGAGGGGTCAAGCCTGGAATGGCTTGGATATGAGTAGGTACTCACTCAAAGAGCTGCAGTTCCCAGTTAATGACGGCAACCCACCCAGGACTGTGGTCACATGACATTTTGGTTTATGACTGCATCAGTTAGCAATAGAAATTCTGTTCCTATTGTGGTCATTAGTCAAGGACAATCTATATTTGTTGCAGCAGTTTGTAACTGACATTTGTACCGGCTCAGTTTGATGTAAAAACATTTCTCATATAGTACAAATGCATGCTTACTCTAGTCACATTATGTACATTTTAAGCAGGAAATTATAGGCAGGTCACATGGTTTTGGTGACCAATAGCACTGCAGTTGTAGCTTTGGGGGGGGGTAGTTTTGTCAGCCCTCCTGGGTAAACATGGTGGAAAATGAGCTAAATCTATTTTAAGGCTACATGTACAAAATCTTGCAAGTGTGAAGATACAAACTTCCCACTGCCATTTTTAAGTGTCTAATCAATGAGGGTGGGTCCTTCCTAAGTTTATTTCTCTGATTGTTGAGTGACTCTGGATTCCTCCCTCTCTTGTCTTATTTCCAATACTGACATGCACACGTACACACACACACACACACACACACACACAAAGCACACTCTGTGTGTGTGTGTGTGTGTGTGTGTGTCACTGCTTTATTGTTGCTGTTTTATTGTCCCTTAGCAGCATCCCCCAAATGAATCTGGTAACAGCACAGAATTGAAAACCACAATTGTCATAAGGGCCCCTTGTAAGGAAAAAATGGATATATTGAAGCTGTGTGGTAAACATTTATATCCTCCCATTGCAAATTTTTCCAAGCAGCTTACCATAAATGAGAGTACAATAAAATAAAACCATATAAACAAGAACGTCATCAATGCAGTAGCATAACTTGAGCTGTGTCATGCAGCACTGCTGCAATTTGACCTGGGGAAGAAATATAACAGAATTCTAGAGAACATAGTGTGACTTGCATGGAAGATTCTTGGCCATGTTAATTTTTCTGAAATGATGAATAGTCACAGCTGTGTTGAAGCGTTATTTTTAATGTAAGGATCAAACAGCTGTGATTGTGGCACAGTGGAAAATATATCAAACTGAAATGCCAATTATCATAAGGGCAACTATGACAAAGGGAAAGTAGCAACATATGGAGCTAGAAAGCTGATCTTGGCTAAACACAATCCTATATGTATTGTTTGCTTGAATTTAAATAATTTTTATTAATCTATTTAAATTAGGAACATAAAATCTGTGTTTTACCGAGTCAAACCATTGGTATAGTCTCTCCTTACTTGATAGCTGTATTCATATAACACCCATGGTAAACTTAACCATGGGGCTTCCAGGCAGTGGTGGGATGCTGCCGGTTTAACAACCGGTTCGGTGATCATGCGCTTCTCTACCGTGCCAATCAGCTGAGAAGATAAAGGTAAGTAAAGCGCAGGGGCAGGCGGGCGGGCCAACCTGATCGTCAGAGTGAACCGGTTCACTCCCAGCTGATCATCGGAGCTACTGGTTCACCCCAAACCGGTCTGAACTGGTAAAATCTCACCCCTGCTTCCAGGGAAAAAATGGCTGACCAAAGATAGCTCTGCAAAAAGTGGAGCTGACAATCACAGCAGAATTAAGAGTCAGTGAAGACATTTCCTCTTTGTAATTCCTCTCCAGACAAAGAAAGAACTTTGAGATCATCCTCAAAGTGTTCCAGACATTGCTGGCCTTAAATATTGTGGAATTACTCCTTTCACTTTCTTAGAAATTATACCTTTAACTCTAAAGTACTCAAGGCAAGAGTCTCATTCTGTTGCAATTTGGACCGTGTAATAATAACATCAGAACAGTGGGATGAAAAGCACTAGCCTTTGTCATGCTTTCAAGAACAATCAGTCAACATAATGACCAGAATCTATATAGCTTCTTTTGCAAATCTGTCCACTGCATTTATTTCAGTCTGCAAAAGGTTACACGTATATCTGAAAGTAAACAAAATTGTTTTTTTTCTGTGATAAGGGGACTATAAGTGATTATTTTCCGCTTATTGCTATACAGCTTTGCTTCTTTTAAAACCCAGGTATTCAGTTGAGCTTCATTAATGTGGACATGTGATAAATTATAGTAATTATCTTTCTCCTTCAACAATCTGCCTCTTTTCTGTTGCACAGCTATGAATTGTTTCTCCCTTTGAACTTTGCTGTAGTTAGAATTAGCAGTGGTTTGGATTTCTGCCCTGCTAACACGAGATAAGAGACACTGGGTTTTTAACAAGAGTCCTTTTAAATTAAGTAGCTTTTTGGACTAAGCACCTTTGTTTATCTCGTTTCACATGTAGTAATAGGTCTTGGCTTTCTCATTTAAATTGTGTTAAGCAAAGCCTAAAGATGGAATAACCAGTTTGTTTTTCTTTTTTAACTAGTACATGCTATTTTCCTGGGCTTACTGTTATTCTAGGGAAACAGGTTTTTGCAGAACCACAAAGGAAGAAGATTGCCTACATTAATCCTTTTCCCTACCAACTACCATCATCCCTGCCATGTGCTATGATCTCAACCCTGGTACTGACTGTTGTTAAGAGTGAAAAATATGTTTTGGCCCTACACTATGAGAAATGAGCAATTGTTGGTACAGTATCTCAGCGGTTCTGAGATGAATTCTGTAAAGTATAAGTATCTTTCCAAAAGTTTACTGTCCTTTTCATCTTAAGGTGAAATGTAAAGGTTCAGGGATGTGAATGTTGTGAGTGCCCTTCCTTGATGTATTAATTAATTATGGGCATTTCTACACTGTAGTATTTGCACCAGGTTTTTTTTTTTACTTTCCAGTTCCTAAAGAACACTGAAAAGCTTACTTACAATAATTGTCAAAATGATGAGAATAGTGGTAATTGAGAGAGAAGAGCTGGGTGTGGTGAGGGTTCCCAACACTGGGGGAATAGACCTCCCAGAAGTTCATTAGAGATGCTGTACACTTCAAGAAGAGAAGTGTAGCCTGCTGGGATTTTATATACAATGCAGTAAAGTCATCAATAAATCAGATTTTTGGACACAATAGTTGTAAGAACAGATCGAGAACTAACCCAGTCTGCTGCAAAGGTACATGTATATGTAAAAGGTACATGTAGTATCTTTTATATAGGCATGGCCAAACTTAACATTAGATGTAAGGAAACAGGCAGAAAGACGTTAGATCTCCTATCTTAGCTGATGTATAACCTTTCTGAAAGCAAGGCACCCTTTTCATTTTATTTTCAATGGAATTGGCTTTGCAGAATTCCTGATAGCCTTTCTTGTGTCGCTGGTACTTTATAGTCCAACTGACAAATTATTGGCTTGTCCTCATACCAAACCAGGGGTGAAATCCAGCAGGTTCTGACAGGTTCTGGAGAACCGGTAGCGGGAATTTTGAGTAGTTTAGAGAACTGGCACATACCACCTCTGGCTGGTCCCAGAGTGGGGTGGGAATGGAGATTTTGCAATATCCTTCTCCCAGGAGTGGAGAGGGAATGGGGACTTTGCAACATCCTTCCCCTGGAGTGAGGTGGGAATGGAGATTTTGCAGTATCCTTCCCCTGCCACACCCACCAAGCCAGACCACGTCCACCAAGCCACGCCCACAGAACCGGTAGTAAAAAAATTTGGATTTCACCACTGTACCAAACTCAATAGTGCTCCCACTCTGTATGGAGTATTTTTTTAAAAAAAGAAACACTCTCGCTATATTCTGTTTATAGTTATGATATCCACAGACAGTAATTCTATAGATATATATAATCCTATGCCTTTGATGTCCATATATTCTGGGTATTCTTCAGATTGGTGCCTTCTACCTGATGGAAGGTATAATCTAACGTATCAAGAGGATACCGAGTTAGGGAAAAGTAAAAGAAATCCCAAGCAAATAGATAATAGTACTTTTGAGTGAGGAGATAGAAATAACAGAGTGTTCTGACTGAGTGACAAGAAGACAGTAGGCACCACTAGTCATCTGTGGAACAGATGGAAGATCTCCTGCTGCTGAACGTCTAGTAGGTCCTAGCAGATACGGAGTAGTGTATTACTACTCTATTGGCCATGTTAGTGCTGATTAAGCTACCTTAATTCTTCCAAAAATCTACTGATGTTTCTTGCTACCTACCTCTTCCTTCGAGCAACAGCTTGAATCAAGCCTCTTGCTATTCTCCATGTCACCTTAGCAGATATTCCCTATTTTATTCATAGTTTGCTATTGTTGACAAAGAGTTGTTAAACCCGTGATGGTGAAACTATGCCCCATGTGCCAGAGGTGGCAAGCAGAGCCCTCTTTGTGGTCACGTGCACCGTCGCCAGCTGCTCTGCTGGTTTCAAGCACGCACATGCGTGCTGGCCAGCTGGTCTTTGCGGGCACTGGAGCAGTGGAAAAGGCCAGAAAACGACACGAAAATGCGCAAAAAACAAGCATGCATGCACATGCTGGAAATCGAAAGACCAGCTGGTCGTCTGGTTTCCGGTGCTCCGGCACGTACACATGCACACGCATTCCAGTTTGGGCACTCAATGCCAAAAAGGTTCACCATCACTGTGTTAAACCATTATTATAAGCAATAGTATCTGTTATCAGAAAGAACATATGGTAGGTATTCATTTTGAGAACAGCCATATGGGAAATGTAAAACATGGCCTTGCTCTAAGACAGAGCAAGAGAAGGAATATTCTGAATTATGTTATGGATCATCTGCAAACTATTTTTAAAAAGATAAGTCAAGTGCCTAACTAAATAGCATCCTTGAAGATCATGACTATGTTTACTAACAATAAAAACATTAAACTCTCATGTTTTTCTTACCACAAAAATGACAGTCCATATGAAAAGTAACTCCTTTATCGTGTACATGAAACAGCATTGGAATATTGTTTTACAATATATGTCCATCTGTCTGACAACAAAATGAGCTGTGAGCCAACAAGAGTATCCTGTTTTTTTTGTGGGGTTTTTTTTTTTTTTTGCATATTCAGCCTCATTCTAGTATTTGTTTGCTTTGCTGCGGACTTGGAATGTTGTTCAAGACAGAAGAAAAGCAACAACCATGAAATGCATTTTTCCATTTGCAGTTTGTTGAAATGCAGCAATGTGCCTGATCAGCATCAGAAAGAGACATTCAGAAGGAAAGGAAACATATCGGCTTGCTGCACCCCAAGACAAATTCTATTTGTGGTGGGAAGGGGAGAGGGTGCACATGCCATTCATCACCCAGAAGAGTAGCCAGGAAAACCCTGGCCATCAGCCAAGATAATTGTACAACATTTAGTCCATGTGTGCTTCAGATGTGTGCTCCCAATGGAACAACCTGGAGAGTGGGCAGAGGTCCTATTGGAGGCGCGATATACTCCTCTTCTCTCAGCAACCGCAAGAGAATGTTCTTTTTGTTCCGAGGCCAATGGTAGATGTGAGTATTCTGAAGCCAGGTAGGTACATGTTCCTGTGGAGAAGGAAAAGTCAAAAAGAGAGAAGAATGTGGGTAGGAAAGAAGAGAGAAAGAAGCAATATATAATCCCTCCTGATAGCAGCTTTTGAGACATACTCGCCATTCGAGTTACAGACTCCACATTTGACATGAGTTTCCCATCTTCCTCATATGTCTTTGCCAACAAACTAAGCAATAAGTTAAGCTGTGGATTTCTTTTCTAAACAATTTCAGTAAGTCCTTGTGAAATCACTTGTATGAAGCCTTTTCCCAGCATGTTTATTGCTTCTTATATCATTCAGCTTTAAAGTCCTATAAAGAGCCTTGGTGGTGCAGCGGACTAAGTGCTGTTATGTAGCACTTAGCTACCAGCTGCCTGCAGTTAGTGCGAGTTCAAATCTCCCCAGGCTCAAGGTTGACTCAGCCTTCCATCCTTCCGAGGTAGGTAAATTGAGGACCTGGATTGTGGGGGCAATAAACTGACTTTGTAGAAACACCGCTTATGGGAGGGCAAAAGCCCTAATAAGCAGGTATATACAAAAGAATGAAGACTATTGCTATAAGTGCATTGTAAGTCGCCCTGAGTCTTCGGAGAAGGGCGGCATATAAATTGAACTAATAAATAAATATAAATCTGCATTCCATAGTTATAATGTTGAGGTGCAGTAGTGTCATGTAGCTTCCCTATAGCTCTGATAGCAAAGCTTCAGGAGGATCTTGACTAACCTACTCTAGATTATGGTAGTAACTTTTCCCATGCTGATTAAGGAGAATTTATAAAGATTTTCTTGTACGTGATATTACAAGGGGAGTAGGAGGGCTTATTTTGTTATCTTCCTAATGTTGTACAGATTTATAGATACAACCGCCTATTTGAATATGATTATGATCACACCTCATGCTAAGTTATAACCAACCAAACAAGGATTCATGTTGTAACAAAGGAGAAGTCACAAAGGAAGAATGCAGCATCTGGAATCCCCATCCCCCCAAAAAAAGCTTTTAAAAATTTTCAAAGTGAAAGAGAAAATAATCAGTATATCTGCTTCTCAAGAAGGTAACAAAATGTTAGCAGGTAACAAAGAAAAGGCAAAACTAGTCAATTCCCATTTTGGCCATTTTAAAAAACCAATATGGAAGTATGTGTTTCACTAAGCATTGTGAAGAGCAGGATCAAGAAACAGATTTGTTTTCAACTGTTAAAATACAAATTTTCTATATTTTGAATCAATTCAAATCTCCAGGGTCAGTTGAACGTAATCCTAGGGTACTGAAAGATTTGCTAATGGTCTAATAGACTGTTTATAAAATTTTGAGAAGTTTGAGATAATGGGTAAAGTACCAAATGAAATGAGAATGAAAAATGTTTGAAAATAATGCTGAAATTACAGAGATCAACATGGATTTGTCAACTATACTGCATCACTAGAAGTATAGTTTCCAAATCACTGGAACTAATAGTGCATTAGAACTTCATTGGGCATTAGTCAGACCCAAGAGTTCTGGGCATTAGACTTTTAATCTGGATTCTTCTTAGATTAACTAGGAGTGATTCAGAAAAGACCAATGAAGTAGCCCGGGAGACTAGAAATGTAATCTGAACAAAAGGTATCACAAAGAAGAAGGCCAAGACTTGTTCATTACCATCGCAGACAGCAGGACAAGTAAGAATTTAAAGTTATAAGAATACAAGAGTAGTTTAACAGAAGAATTAAATACCTAGAGGGTTGATGGTCTCTGCATCACTAGATGTGATGGATATTGGATAGCTACATGTTACCAATGCTTTAATTTGAATTATTTCCAATTCTGTAGTTCTACAAAATGAGATTCTGGCCTACACAGTATGAGAACCTAGTTGGGTGTATAAAAATCTTTGCATATTCTGCAGAACAGATTTTGGGTACAGATTGAGAGTAGAGGTATCGTTTTGATATAAATTATAATTCTGTTTTAAGAGTATTGTGAAACATTCCTCTAAATTCTTACATCAAATGCCAAAAGAATTTTTACTTCACGTTCCCAAATATTTTTTTAAAAATGTTCTTGATCCAATTGAAATTTTCATCAAGCACCAAAATGGAATTATTCTGCCTTAGTCATATTACCTTTTTTGCATTGGGAAAGAGCACAGGAATGAATCTAAAGTTCATGCTTCCTTGTTGTATAAATTCAATTTGCATCTGAAAAAATATAAAAGAATGAAAATTTGTCAACATTAATTTCAGATGTATGTATTCTGATTTCTAATGTACAATGGCCTTCAGCTATAAACAGACTCATGTCCCTACAGTAGCACAATGACACAATCAGATAGATTTATGAATCTATCTGGATTCTTGGATTATGAATTGCACAGAAATCCGAACAGTGAAAGTAGGTTATGATCCAATGTTAGACACAACATGTAAGTGCCCTGATCTGAGCAATACTGTTTTCCATTCTAGATTTTTGGAAGTAGGGGAGCCTGGGTGTACCAATAAAGGAGAATATTTGTAGCTCAGGATCAGTGGTGAAATCCAAATTTTTTTACTACCGGTTCTGTGGGCGTGGCTTGGTGGGTGTGGCAGGAAAGGATACTGCAAAATCTTAATTCCCACCCCACTCCAGGGGAAGGATACTGCAGAATCCCCATTCCCTCCCCACTCTGGGGCCAGCCAAATGTGTGCCTGTTTTCCAAACTACTCAAAATTTCCACTACCGGTTCTCCAGAACCTGTCAGAACCTGCTGAATTTCACCCCTGCTCATGATTGAAAGGAGGGATCCTTGGTGCTCTCTGAGCTTGGTTGTTTTGGGTAATGAAACGTGCACTGATGTTACCTAGTTTGGGTAATGAAACATCTGCAAGAAAGCAACCAAGCTCAGAGAGCACCAAGAAGCCTAGGTGTTAATTACCCCTTATCACTGAGCAACAGATAAGCATGTGCAAGATGTATATGCTGTTCTGTGAGGTTTATTGCTGTGTATTTTTGTTGGAAGGCCCTTGTCTTGTATTTATACACCTGTTGAATGCTACTGCAGATGGACAATTGAAAGCAGAATTGTGTTTCATTTCTGGAAGCTTTTCAACTATATTGCAGGGTTTATCCACTTACGTCTGAATTTTTCCTTAAATATAACAACAGTACTGAAAATATCAAGTGGGGTTTAACTTGCATACCGTAACAATCTTGATTTAGAGATTGAGAGCAGATAGAGATTGGAACAGCCAGACACCTCCAGCTTTATCTCTGGCTGAAATACCCCAGCCATAACTCATCACCAGTCTGATGTAAGCATTCATAGGCTGCTTTATGTTTCAGAACATCAGCCATTTGCAAAACGCTAAAAAGAGTAAAGGAAGTCAGGACAACACATTACAATGTTGGCAGCAGGCTTGTCACTACAGCAAGGGCTAGGCATCCTTGGGAGCCTAGAGAGAAAACATTAACTTCTATCAAAATCAGTGGAATGGGATCAAGATGTATGTGGCATTTGCTGAATTGTATGGCTGAAATCTGTGTCAGAAAATATTCACCGCTAGTAAAGATCAAATAGCTTTTCCTCCCTTCTCTGCCTCTTTTCCCCACCGCTGCCACCGAAGGGAGCTTATCTTTGCATGCCTAAAACACCGCCTTTCCTCCAGCTGCACGTGTGGGTCTGCTCTCATTCTGTGATAAATCGGTCCTGTTGGAAGCTTTCTAGACAAGCACATTATATAGCATTTCTTTTCTAGCTGAAAGGCAGGAAGCCCTGTTGCAGTTTATTCAATCAGATCAGAGGAAACCCTAGAGAGAATCTTCACACATGTTATCAAGCTGAGTCTCTGTGGCAATGGAGAAGCCGTAGGGAGACAAAGATCAAATGCGCAGAGAAAGAGAATACAGTAACTCAGGGGTGGATATGAAAGTGTGGCTAGAAAAATTCCACAAAATACAATTCTGTTTGTATGTTGCAGTCTGCCATCAGTGGGCTCCAGTGTAGGTGTAGCAGTTCAGTGTGTTCCACATGTTCAGTGCAGGCATAAGATATGTTCATATCATAGTCCTCTGTGGCAAGGCACAATGATGTCAAGATGCAAACGCCATCACTTGCCTCCCTTGCTCCCCAATGGGTCCCCATAGATCACATGGCAGAGATTTGAACCAAGTATGAAAGGATTTAAACAGGTCACAAAGCCACACATATCATCAACTGCATTTACAGAACATGGAGTTGCCGTGCTCTCTAAGAAGCACCGCAGAAAGCAAAGTTTTAAATACGAACAAAGCACGGCTTAACCACAGCACAAACACCAATATTTTGGCAGAAGAAGAAGCAGCAGCAGCTGAAGACTTCCTTTTGAAATGGCAAGCACGTGTCCTCACTCACCATCCTGTGGATGTACTTAGTATGTAAACCATGTTCATCCTTGTCCAGCTGGGATTCAGCCCTTTCAACATCCTGTTTGTATTTTGGACTGATTGCTATGATTATCATTACTGTCTTCTGTCAGAAAGAGAAACACTTTTATGAAATCATAAAATGCAGCACAGTTGGGCAAAAACAGCTGGGAAAGCTGCCAGCTGGGATTTTACGTGATCTGATGTTCCTTGGAAGCATAAGGCAAGCCAGTTCCTTTTGGCAGTGAGACGGTACAGTATACATTGGAATTCCTCATACCAGATTTCGTGGATCTCCCATGAAGCAGAGTTTAATTTAAGGGAGAGAGAAAATATTTTTCAGCATTGGCCGTGCTGAATCACAAAAATCACCAACTCAGCCTATTGGACATAATTATGCATACTGTACAAAACACACACACACACATACACACATATGAGAATGCATATTTATAATGTTGATTCTCACAGCTTGGAATAGCTAAGAGGCTGTGGAAGAAATTAAACATCTCTTATTTTCAAGAGAAGCCACAAAATTTAAAACTTATTTTGAGGAGATAGATTTAAAAACAAAACAAGCCACAATCACAAAGATTCTCCTTCCATAAAGGAGAATTCATATACGGTACTAATTCACACTGTGGCTTTTTAAAAAATGACTTTGTATCCTATCTGAAACCTGAAAGAGTACTGTAATTTATAGCAGGACTAGTGGACAACCTTTTCTGCTTGGTAGAGCATGTTCTACTATATTATCATCTTCAGTTGGCTGAGGGGTAGAAGAGACAGTAATGTAGTAGGGAGATGAAGCCAAAATTATCAGTTGGTTCTTTGGGGAGTATAGGTGTCACTTTTGTAGGGATATGAAGCTTACTGGAAGTGTAGCACATGCTTCCTTTAGTTTATCACTGAACACTGGCAGGATATTGATTTGGGGGATTTACTAGTCACTTTGGCTTGCACATTGTTGGGGCATAGGTACAAAGCTTTGGAAACTGCCTTTTATCCACAGTTCATGATTTCCTTATCTAGTCTTACACAAGTACTAAGCCAACATATGCAAACTTATCTGTCCAGCATGCGGTTTCTAGCAACCGATAGATTTCTTCTGGGCAGCATAATCTTTTTTCCCCCCAAGCAAGACCTGTCTATCTCATCAAATTATTAAAGTGAGCGGAACTTAGGTTCACATAATAAATTAAGCAAAAGTTTAATCTTATTTGGGAAACTAAGCCCCAATTGCCTGGGTTTACATGGCATACCCATATGCACAACTATAGCTTAGCTCAATATGTAAATCAAGTTCTCTTGGCAGTCCACTGCTGCTCATATGTTTCTTTGAATCTAATCCAAAATATACACTAGCTAATTGATGTGCTTGATATATGTTTTTGTTCACTCTGTATCTCTCTCTCTCTCTCTCTCTCTCACGCACACACACGTACATTCCTGTATATAACACAGACAAGATGGATAGCTCATTACTCAGAGAAACATTCCTCAAAATTCTCAGCAAAGGAATATTACTGATAAAAAGAGAGCCAGGCTTTCTTCTCTCAGTTGCTTCCATTTTAATTTCAAGGAAAGGGGAGGAAAAAAGAGCAGGAAAAACATTAATAATTAAGCCAGGTGGGGAGGAGAGAACAGATTCCTATTTTAGTTCATTGTGCCTTAGGAAGCAACCTTAAGTATTCCATGCACGAAAAAAGTACAAGATTTACATTTTATTTTTACTTACATCACTTAGATAACGTTCCATCCACTTGATAATATCAATTCCTCGGATGGTGTCCTCAAATATGTCAATCTGTTAAAAAGTGAAAATATTAATACGATTTCTTTAGCTCTGACTGCTCTCTAGGAGGCTACTTTAACCTTAATTCAACATTGGCATCCTTTCCAAATAGTTTGATTTAAGAAGCTTTTAATGCAAATATACCTAGACCAACAATACTGTCCAGTAAAAAAAAACCACTACGTTTAGTATAGCTTGGTAAAAATTTTGCAGTTCATATCACAGTGAAGAAATTGGTCAAATCAACTTGATGCATCCTGAAAAAAAACAACAACAACACTTGTGTGATAAGGTCTTGCCCACTTTGCACCTGTGCCATCCCCATGGTGATTTCATCTGCCCCAAAAGTTACACTCGCCTGTCATAAGTCATGGTTTACAAACCACAGTGCTCAAATTCACACATTTTGCCAAAACTATGAGTCGTGTTAAAATACTGCATACTGTTTCAATCCAACCAGGATTTTTAGGAGTCCCAGCAAATAGCCCTCCTTTGGTGATGGACAGACAAGGAAGCTCTTGTTAGAATAAGCCAAATTTCTTGCGTCCATAGATTGCAAAATGCCAGGCCAACTACTGCCATTACACATCATGAATTGGTATCTACCATATCAGACTATGTTTCACTCAGTCTTGGAGGACGATGTTTATAAAGTTACTGCCACGGAAGAATAAAATATAAAGGGAAATCCTTGACATGAAAGTTGATCTACTAATATAGAAGTCAACCTCTCTGAATGTTGTTCACATATGCAGGATGCTGCTGGAGACACCTTTTAAAAATATGAATCTGAAACATCATTTCCACCCAATACATTCACTTTAAATTCACATTTACATGTATTACTTAAACCAATTTTATGGCTCTCTTTTATATAATATTCATTATGGAATATACAATATTTAGGCAGACAGGCACATAAAAAACAAACAATACCACTTTGAATTTAGAATTGCCTCTCTTCAGATATTCACACTTTTTCTCTTTGCAGTGCAGGCTTCCAGAATAAAATACTTACCGCAGTCTGAAATCCATTCACAAATAAAAAGTTCACAAATTTCATGACCTCCACAGCTGCATCCACAGAATAGGTTATAAAGACTTTACCTAGGAGAAGTAAAGTAAAGTAAAGAAGTATCAATAAATAAAACAGGTGTTCTTTGAAACAAAATAGTTCTGAATTCCAAAGAATTCACAAAGGCAGCCTACCATGAGTAGCTGCAAGGTGATATGCTGCAGAGCAGGTGGCAGGTGTGGCCAAGAGGCTCTTTGTACATCTAGTGCCTCAATTTCATCCTTCCTGGACAAGGAGATTCTCCAAACAGTCACTAATGCCGCAGCCACCTCACAAGTGGACTATTGTGATGCATTCTATACAGGGTTGACCTTGAAGGCTACTTAGAAGGTGCAGCTGGCCTAGCATGTAGCAGTACAGACAGTCTTGGGCAGACTGCATTATGCCATTGTGACCCTACTACTCCATGAGTTTTATGGCTTACCTATTGGCTTCTGGGTGCAATTCATGGTTCTGGTTACATCTCTCAGAACTGATGATGTTCAGGAAGTATTAAAACCTGGCTGTTCTGCCAAGTTTGGGGGAAGGTTGATGGTTGAGCCTATTGCATGAGGGAGGGGATTGTTTATACGTTTGTCTTCTTGCAGTTTATAATTTGCTTTTGGTAGTGTTCTTGCTTTTTAACTGTAGGCTACCAGAATCATCACAAATCAGGTGACTGTATATATGCGAGTATAAATAAACAACTACAAGGTGACACACTGTAGTCTCAACAGGGACCTTTGGATTTTAGTCATCGGGGAAGTCTGTAAGAGCAGACATCCCCAATCTTTCTGGCTTTGCGGACCGGTGGAGGTGGGCGGGAGAGGGAATGGTTCCATGCGAGCAGCGGGCAAATTGCTCACTGCTCACTCACCAATTCCACAGCCTGGTTCCAAATGGCTCAAGGCCCGGTAATGGACCACGGCCTGGGGGGTTTGGGACCCCTGTGTAAGAGTAAAGACATTCCCAAAATTCAGACTTCAAATTGTTTACAGCTGTAGAAGTCAAAAAAAAACCTTGAACCAGTCTTGTTTGCTAACGGGAAGTCAATGTAACAACTTCAACGAAAGTGTCTTGTGTCCCTGATAAGATCCCCAACTCAGAAATCTAATCACTGCTTTCTATATCAGCTGCAGTTTCAGGATCATTCAGAGCTCATTACAGTACAGGTAGTCTTAGTGACTGTTCAAAGTTACAACAGCACTGAAAAAAAATGACTTATGGACATTTTTCACACACAGGACTGTTGCAGCATCACCATGATCATGTGATTTAAATTCAGATGCTTGACAACTGATTCACATTTATGACAAAACTCACTTAACAAATGTCTCACATAGCAACAGAAATTTTGGGCTCAATTGTGGTTATAAGTCAAGGACTACCTGTATATTGTCCATCTCTATCTAGGAAGAAGCTGTACTAGGGCCTCTGTTTACAGAAGAAGCAGCAACAAGATAAAATCTTCAAAAATTTTGTTTTCCTTCAGCTTTTTAAAACTTTATCCCTGCTTGTGTTTTTAATCCAGTTCTTTGGGTGTTTTTCTTTACATTTTGCAAGCACAAAGAGACACCCAGAGTCGTGTGCTGAACAGGCTAGCTATATAAATCAGAAAGATTTATAGGAATGTCTTTCACACTTTTTGCTAATATAGCTCTAGAAATCCCTCAATCAGTAGAAGAACTCAATAATGCAAAAATGGTATGTGATACATACTGTGGGGGTGGAATGATCCTTACTTATTTCCAGCCCATACATACATACAGAACTAACAAACAAGAAACAGCAGTAGCTTACGTAGCTCTTCAGGCAAATTGCTGGTCCTCAGTGTCCCTCTGGCTGCAGAATTAGTCAGGGGTCTTGGGATAGCCCCAGGGGTGGGCATGCTTCCAGACTGAGCCATGGAATCAAGAGGAAATCTCTCTACGCCCTCATGGGCACCGTATATTTCGAACGGTGTGTTACTCTCAAGCATCTGCTTCTGAAATTGGTCACTGAGAAGAGAAAGAAAAACCACTGTAAATTCTGAAAATGTTCAAATCTCATGATTCTGAGTACATGTTTGGTGTCCTTTCTTAATAATAAAGGCATACAGATACTCTTTGTTCAGAAAAAGCTGGGGAAAACTGCATTTATAGGCCAGGGAAGATTAAGGACCCCACCCAAAAGCTTCTTTTGTTCTAAAATGCAAAAAAATGTTAATGTTAATGTTAATTTTATTTATATACTGCCCTTCTCCTGAAGGACTCGGGGCGGTGTACAGCCAATTTAAAACAAATATACAGACATCATCATTAAAAATTAATTAAAATCAATTGAACAGTTTCGGCCAAGATTTAAAACCCCAAGTTAAAACTCCAATTTAAAACCACTTAAATAGACAGCTCAGCCTGTCGGAACAGTAGGGTCTTAAGGGCACAGCGAAAAACCCGGAGGTCAGAGATTGTACGTATTTCTGGGGGCAGTTCGTTCCAGAGGGCAGGAGCTCCCACAGAGAAGGCTCTCCTCCTGGGTGTCACCAGCCGGCATAATTTGGCCGACGGCACCCTGAGGAGTCCCTCTCTGTGGGAGCGAACTGGTTGGTGGGAGGCTATCGGTGGCAGAAGGCGGTCCCCTAAATACCCTGGTCCTATGCCATGGAGCGCTTTAAAGGTGGTAACCAACACCTTGAATTGCACCCGGAAAACCACTGGGAGCCAGTGCAGCTCGCGCAGGGGAGGTGTTACATGGGCGCAACGGGTTGCGCCCATAATCACCCGCGCGGCTGCATTCTGGACCAGTTGGAGCCTCCGAGTGCTCTTCAAGGGGAGCCCCATGTAGAGAGCATTACAGTAGTTCAACCGGGAGGTGACAAGGGCGTGAGTGACCATGCGTAGGGCATCCCAGTCCAGAAAGGGACGCAACTGGCGGATCAGGCAAACCTGATAAAAAGCCCCCCCTGGCCACGGCCATCATGTGCTCTTCTAAAGACAGCTGCGCATCCAGGAGGACACCCAGATTAGGTAAGGTAGGTAAATTGAGGACCCAGTTTGTGGGGGCAATAAGCTGACTTTGTATAAATATACAAAAGTATGAAGGCTATTGCTTAACGCATTGTAAGCTGCCCTGAGTCTCCGGAGAAGGGCGGCATATAAATCAAATAAAAAAAAACCCCAATAGTCAGCGATGGCACCAGCTGACTATACCAGGACATCGGAAGCCACAGCCACTCGGTCTTGGAAGGGTTGAGTCTGAAAAATGAATTAAGCTTTCTCCTATTTGTTGAAACAAGAATTGGGGTGGATTCGATTTAAACCAGTCTGCCACCATTTGTAATGGGGGCCTGCCAGGACTGAAGATGCTCAGTGACAGTGCAATCCTGCAAGCAGAGGTCCTAATTACTTCAACAAGAGTTTGTTGCTCAAAATAAGGATTGGAGGAAGTCGTATCAATACATCTTGAAGTATACTTTCTGTATGCCAAGTGTATCCAAGCTCTTGAAAAGACCATCAGGATTTTAAAAGAAATCTGCCGCTGGCATTTTTACTTTTTTGATTTCAATTATTTCTTATGTTCTGTTTATTATCTTAAAAATTAAAAGAAATCCTGAAGAATTTGATAGGAATTTGAGATCTCCACTTTCTGTGGGATAAAAACAGTTCTGTGATATCAATCAATCCCGAAGTCAGGGTGACTGTAGCTGTCAATCCTTTGTAAAGAGGGAATTGTAAATCAAAGGGGGATGTCAAAGCTCCATTATGGGTTGGAGCAGGAAACACATGTATGTAAGTCACTATCTACACTGTGTGGCCTCATTCATTTCAAATAGACTTGGCCCCTTGGAGAAGCAGTAACATACAATATATGGGCATGTAGACATACACCCTTACTGAAGAATCTATGTTGAAGGACAATGTTTACAATCTAATTCCAAATTGATTGTAAACTGTCAGTGGTCCTATGGCCTTCAAACTAGTTTCATGGGAGATGACAAGATGGTAAGTGTAATCCTACATTACTACAAACTCCACCCACTTTTAATTCCAAATCCTCCCACACTGTGGTGGTTGTGACTGGTTGACTTATGCCATAATTTAGTGAGTCTTCATAATTTAGTTACTAGTTAGAGGCTAGCTCTGGGTGAATAATACAAAGAGGCAGGAGAAGAGAAAGCACTACATCTAGAAAACCTGGAAGCTAACAAGGAGAAAGACATGAAATTACTGAACCTGGAACAGAAACAAAGTACATAAGAATTATTTTGTTTCCCTGCCAGAAATCAGAGGCCTGTGAGAAGCAGCAGAGATTCATATCAACAAGGCAATTCAGCCTGGGAAGACCACTCAATTTGCCTCAGTGAAATTACTAGGGAGGTTTTAAATTAGTTTAGGCTTATATACATTTTGTAGATGACCTCACAGCAATAAATTATTATACTCTTGAGATGAGAAGTTTAGAGAAAGAGGAAAAAGGGTTTGCAGTTTCACTCAGAATCTTTAGATCATGGGTGTCAAACTCCATCGGGTCACGTAACGTAGTGACTTTTTTGCCTTTGAGGAGCCGGAGTGGGTGTGGCCTGTGCGTGACGCATCTGGCCCGTTTGATACCCCTAATACACTAAGGTAATTTCTCCACTAATGACTTACTGTGTCTTCAAGAATCATCCAATCAAAAGTTGTGTCAAAATAACAGCAATCACAATCTTTATATCTGATCAGTCATGGCCAAATGATGCTGTAAGACACTAGCAATGAAATGGCCAAATCCACTTTACTTAATTATTGTCAATGAATTTGTAATTTTGTCCATTTCTAGGGTTCTCCTTTACTCTAAGTCAGTGGCTTAGTAAATTTAAGCTGGTCTGAATCTGAAGCAGCCATTCTTCATTAAATTTGGAACAAACAATGACTAAGTTAGGCAGTCGTTTTAAATTCTGATTCACAGTAACTAGTAATGGAACCTATTTGTATATACTTAGCCTCAGCCTTGATTATAGGAGCAAATGAGATGGCAGGTGAAATGGCAATATATGTGTTGATATTATCCAGGCAAAGGTTAGCATACCGTTCATATACACAGGATGCTAAAATAATCATCATTAGCTTTGCATGCAAAAAATGAAATAAGCTCCAAGGTTGGAAAATACTTACTGAAATCTCTGAAGTCCTTCGGAAGAGCTTTCCCCCTGAGGCAGCCTTTCTTCATTACACTGGGGTCCATCTGGCCTAGAATAATGTGGGATTATTTGCTGAGCAGGGCGGGTGACTCTTACACAAGGGCCAGGAACAGGAAGCTGCACTTGAGGTGAAGGTGCAAAATGTTGGTAGGGGGTTTGCCCATCTAAACATAACAGAAAATAAAAATTCAGACCATTGTATAAATGAGACTCCTTCCCATAACAGGTAAATAGATGGTACAAACTATTAACAACAGTTCATTTAGTGACACTATTGAAGTTACAATAGTGTCTGAAAAAAATGACTTATGATCATTTCTCACACATATGATCGTTGCAGCATTCCTCTGGTCATGTGATAAAAATTCAGATGCTTGGCAACTGACTGGTGTATTTATGATGGTTACAGTACCCTGGGATCGAGCGATCATCTTTTGCAACCTTCTGACAAGCGAAATCAATGGGAGTGCCAGATTCACTTAGCAACCATGTTACTAACTTAGTAACTGCAGTGATTCACTTAACAAATGTGATAAGAAAGGTCGTAAAAAGGGGCAAAAGCAACAGGAATGTTGGGCTCATTTGTGGTCATTAGCCAAGGACCACGCATTTCTTACACCAGGACATGGTTTTATTTATTCACATTTTATTGAATAAACCCCACATGCAACTTACTAAAGCTGCACATGGTTCAAAAGCAATTTGGAAGAAGTGCTTGGGATTCATGCAAGCACAGCACTCCTTTGCTATTCATTAAATTATGCATGGCATTAAATATAGTAATGTCACACATTAAGATTGTTTTCCTAATTGTAGTTTATTGAATAATTTGTGTTGGCTGGAATCACTTGATTAAGGCTGGAGTAATGAATTAATACCACATATGAAACCAAACCCCAATAAACTACAACATTAGAGTTTAGTATGACACAAATCTAGCCAATAGGACAACCGTTTTACAAAAATACAGCAAATGCATGTATAGCAGGGGAAACACCATTTATGACTAATGAGCTTACATGGATTCTGGCAGTACATATTCTGATTGTAGTATCTTGGGCGCCACTGAGCTTGTGGTGAAATATAAAGATGGGGCATCTGTGGAAATAAAGGGTATGACTGAGAGTCCATCTGTGAATATTCTCTGGACATCAGAGGCTTTGGAAGGTCTTGTAGGTTCAAAACAGAAGTAAAGGACAAGGGAAGCTCAGGTTGTCCAATGCCCAGAGGATCCTGAGGCTGAGAATCGTATCCTGCATCTTCTGTCTTTAGGTCTATTGGCACCCTATTATCGTGCTGCCAGTTTGGCTTTACATTTTCCTGATTTTCACCAAATGAATGCTGTGATATTTCAGATGAACTTCTTTGCAAATTACTAGAATTGTGCCCGATGTCAAGAGAATCAGCTAATGGTTGAGATCTCAAGAGCTGGTTTGTTTTGTGTTGAGGCAAATAATTACATTCTGAACGGTCTGTTGAGTTGCTGGATGGGCCAGGAAATTGTCCTCTTCTAGAATCATAGGTGTTTTGTGGAAGACTGTGGCCATAAGTTTCTAGTATGCCATTATTAGAATTGACATGATCAAGGTACTTATAGAATCCTAGTTGCCCATTCATCGGATGAGATGTTTGAGGTGGATAAGATCCCATAGGCATTGAGTTGTTTATAACTTCTACAGAAGGGTTCGAAGCCTCTTTCAGTGAATGTTCTGGAAATGGAGACCAGTCAATAGTTTCATCCACTTCAACTGGCATACTTCGACCCATTGTAGCGCCTAAAATGGGGGAAAAAATATACAGTATAAAAGTTTTTCTTATTTGCTCTGCATAAAAGTGCATTCATATCTGATGTGCTCCCAGCAATAAAATGGGAAATCTGAGAAATGGAAGCAACACATCTGGAAGGTAAGATAAAATTGGGATTGGCTGAATTGTATTACATAATTGGTCATTTTATGGAAATACTTTAAAGAGATGACTGCCTTGGCCAACACCTGCCTAGATGCCTGAAAGAATTAAGACTGTCGTAATTAGAGCTTTGATTGCTCCCTTCACCAGTTTTTTTTTGCTTTCCACCCTAGTCGATCAGTGGAGGGAACTGAGCTGGCAAAACCTTCCCCAAAGGTTTTTGAGAGGCTGAAATTTTCTAACACATTTGACATAATTCATCCGATTCAAGATTAGACAACCATGATCTGTTTTATCGGCAGTAGTTCGGCCTGAATAAAAGGCTTTGCAAAATGGCAATACAAAACACTAACCTTGTAAGGATGTCATTTCAATATTCTGTAGGAAATCTATGGAAATAAGTACCAAGTGCAAATGGTAGCTAATGGGGGGAAAGGAGAAAATACAAATCACAACAGAAATAAACAATTATGATCATCATTCACAGAGTAGATAAGAAAAAGATGTATTTCCATTATAATATGCTCATTTCCAATTTCCACTCATTGAAATCGCTGAAAGAGGAGATATGGGATCCGATTTAAGCAATGCTTGTTTTATGCCTTATTGCTTTTAATTAATTGTATCATCCTCTGAGATCTACCAATGTAGCTTGTGTGATATTCAAATAAACAAGTAATCAACAAAGTTTAAAACACTCTTCTTCACCTTAGAGTTCTTCAGATGTTCGGGTACCACAACAGGAAGAGGAAGGATTATGGGATATGTTTGCTGCCTTGAGTTAACTATAAAGTAATAAAGACAGGATATGAATACAATAAAGAAATAGGTTTAAGTCAACTCATTTTCAATCAACAGAATGCTTTTGTATTTATGTCATGGAGACATAATATATATATATATTATTTGAATTGTTCTTTTGGTGGCCTGGACAGCAATATAGGGCATTGCAGGCCAAAGCAACTAGACACAGGAACAGTTTTTTCTTTCGTGCCATCACTCTGAGAACACCTAATTCTCACAGTGCTGTCTAATGTCTCAATGTATTTACTATATACTAGTATGGCTGTAGTATTATTTATCCTTCTTATTATCTTCTTTACTCCCCCTTCTTATTGGTATTATTATTATGATTATCATTATTCTGTTGCTTGCATGCACACTGAGAGCTTTTGCACCGGAGAGAAATTCCTTGTGTATGTAATCACACTTTGTCAAATACAGTATTCAATTCAATTGTATCTAAGTTTGTTGTGATGTATGGCTAAAATATTCATCACCAAGTTCCCAACTTCAAAATTGCACATGCATTTTTTTTTTATCAGAATCAGTAAACCTCTTTAGCAGGGGTGTCAAACTCAAACTGGATCCAGCCCTTGGAATGCTTAGATCTTGCCCGAGGGGCCGCCCTGAAATCAGTAAAGAACTGGCCCGTGGTGCCTCTGCCTCTAAAACGGAGCTTGGGAGGGTCATGTGCAGCCCTCCTGAGCTCTGTTTTCGCTGGCAGAGTACTCAGGTTACCACAGGTGCCCCCGACATGAGTGACATTGAGCTGGCCACATCCACCCTAGCCACGCCCACCCCAGCCCCCCAAGGTCAGACACAACCCTGATGCGGCCCTCAATGAAATCGAGTTTGACACTCCTGCTCTATAGTATCATAAAAATCAATGAGGTATACACTTTGAGATGCAATGGAAGCTCCTACTTTCAGTCTTCTAAATATGAAAAAAAGCAACTGCATGATCTTTGATTTACACAGAACTATATGCTGGCTGGAGAATTCTGGGAATTGAAGTCCACATATCTAAAGTTGCCAAGGTTGAGAAAGACTGCACTCGACCAACTAGTTCATTTTCCTCACTCACTCCTACCACACAGAAGCTGCCATTAGTGAGGGAAGGGAAATCTTCGGGCTTAGGAACCTAATAAATGGAGTGTTAGTTTCTCCATTCTGACCTGTGCAGCTCTCTGGTCCAAAAATCAATGCATTTCATTTGAGGAAGCACATATTCTTCATGGTTAATTTTCTTGCCAAGTTTGGAAGAATAACAATGAGTTCCAGTAGAGCTGACTTCAAGTATTTCTTCAAACCTTGCTCCAGTTGCATAAAGGGAAAAATTCAATAATGAACTGAAATAAATCCAAATTAATTTTTTTAAACTTTTCGCAGAAGAAAAACAGCTGAGAATGATTTTAAGACAGCAAGAGTTCTATACATTTTAATATCAGTCACTTCCACAATTCCAGAAAAAGTCTTAAAATGTATTTACTTCTACAGGGTAAGGGTCACCCCTCAAAAAAATCCCCTTACTATTCTCTGAAGTATCAGGTTAAATCTCATCCTGACCCAAACAGTTGCCGCATTTTAAAAATATACAGGAAAAAAAGCAAATTGCTCTGTATTGTATTGCCACTTTCTCATTACTACTCCTTCAGTCATTTTATAATTCAACTCCTACAAAGTTAAACAGAAATGAAGAATACAATAGACATACATCTTTCAAGTCCACAGATATCTAGTGTTGAAATATAATCCAAAAAGTTGGGTTTGCATCTATATGGACCGTAAAACTGCCACATCTGAGCAAGGAAGCAATGTTATTTTGTCATATTTAAGAATGCTTTTAATTTCATTTTTCCTTTTCTTGTCTAGAATTATGATTATCCAACTCAAGAATCTTTTGGTAGACAATCCTGAAGGCCTTCCACAAACTGAGAGGCAGAAATCTCACCTCCTTACAAGCAAAAAGACCCAGCTGTGGAATCTGTGCATCCTGCATCTGCCCTGTCAGTATGGCTGAAGGCAGATGAAACTCCAAGGATTCGGGGGGGGGGGGGTTCCGTTTGGCTCAGATACCAGCACACAGCAGCAGTGTACGCATTTAAATGATTGCTGGATAATGAATCCAATCAGGCTGTCAAGTGGGAAAGGGGAGAGGAGTCAAATAAGATAATTTGTTTGGGTAATTTGCCCTGAACGAGTCCATATTAAGTTTTAATTCATATCCAATCATGGCCAGCATTTTGGAAGGAAGAAGAAGAGGTGGGGGGGGGGCAGAATCCTTTCTGCTCCAACTATTTGTGCATTTCTTAAGACAATTTGAACCTCATTGAAATCTCTGTACTTTCCCTTTTAAAGGCATGCGTCAGCCTATGAAATCTCCAAAGAACAAGGCTGACTACACCCCCTCTGTTTTTGATTAAATCTTTTCTGACAGTAGAGAAGAAGAATGTGGAGTAACACATGGCAAGCTAGGTAGATTCCAGCTTCAAAGGCCATGCTGTTAGCTGAAAGAAACAGCTAGGAAATAGGAAACGGGGTGGGGGGGAGGGATAGACAGTAAGGCCAGCCTGAGCTTGTAACAGCATACTCATTGAGAGAGAAATGCAATTTGGTTTACTTTTTTTCCAGCAAAAGCATTCGTCTTAAATTAGGATATGAAAAGAGACCCACAGCCTAACCGACACTCCCTTTTCCCTAATTCTAATTCCAACTATTGTACTATCAATTTGGGATTTTTCACATAAGTAGATGATACGGTAGTTCTAAACGTTAAGAGAGGAGGAGTGGGATACAGAATTGCCTTAAAGTGGTGCCAATCACAGCATGGCTGATGAGAAACAGTGCTGGAAAATTCATACTGAGACACCACCACCAAGAAGCTCCTGCTCCTGATACCCATCAATATAGGGACCCATCTATATATAGACCCATCTAACAGAGAGAGACCACTGGGGACTTACTTCCTAGCTAATACACCGAGGTTTAATTTCCTTTTCCATTTTAAGTGGTAAAAGAACGTAGGAATACAAAACCTTGCACACCTCACTAAAACAGGCAGTTCATTGTTTTCTGTTCAGGTGATATATGTGGCACCCAGAATTTTCTTGGAGTGGGATAATCTTAACAAATCCAACAAATAAATAAATCCCAACCATGATATGTTTACATTGTCAAAATGTCACCAACCCTCTCAAGGAGATATGTTGCAAGTTCATTTTTGAGTAATATTTTGGCAACAAATCAGAGAAGAAACATAATCTACTCTACGCGGATCCTTCGGAGGGTTATTTCGTACATTAAAAACAGCTTTACATATTTATCCCCTGGTAAAAAGAGAAGGAAGGTTGGGGACAGAGCCTTCCTAGAGAAAATCTATCCAGGGGCCACTAAGACTTTGACCCCGGCTTAATGGCACATAATCAATCAAGCTTACACAACTCTCGGCAAGTCCACACAATCTACAAGAGGCAAACAAGGGGTGAAATTCAATTTTTTTTACTACCAGTTCTGTGGGCGTGGTGTGACTTGGTGGGCGTGGCTTGGTGGGTGTGGCAGGGGAAGAGTATTGCAAAATCTCCATTTCCACCCCACTCCAGGGGAAGGATACTGCAAAATCCCCATTCCCTCCCCATCCCTGGGGGAAGGATACTGCAAAATCCCCATTCCCTCCCCACCCCTAGGGGAAGGATACTGCAAAATCCCCATTCCCTCCCCACTCCTGGGGGAAGGATATTGCAAAATCTCCATTCCCACCCCACTCTGGGACCAGCCAGAGGTGGCATTTGCCGGTTCTCCGAACTACTCAAAATTCCCGCTACCGGTTCTCCAGAACCTGTCAGAACCTGCTGCCTTTCACCCCTGAGGCAAACCCGTTGTAGTTGGGCCTCCCAGCCATTTTTCGGTTGACAAACACAGATTTTATTGGCAACAGAATCGCGGTGTCTGCGTTTTCAAAGCGGTCTTACGGCCTGAGATAATTCACGGCGGAGTCCAAGGTCTCACTCCCAACTAGTTTGCTGCGGGAGTAAATCAAGAGTCGGGAAGGGAAACGGGCCCCGGCCGAGAAAAACAAGAGCAGCAAGAGGAAAAAGTGGGCCAACAACAGCAACAGCCAAATAGGTAAAGGAGGGGAGCTTTTAACAAACTCACCTTTTAGACCCCAAAGGGGATCAGCAGGGCAGGACAGACCACTTGGCCGCCTGGTCTCCTCCGTCCTCCACTTCTCCACCCCACAGATGGTCCCTCCCTGAGGTTTTCCTGGCTTCTTTCCTCCTCCTTTGCTCTGTCAGGTAAAGTTGCCGAACAGGCTCCGCACCAGGAAGTAGATGTGTGTATGCAAATCGCGGAAAAAAGCCGAGTCGGATGCCTCATTTTGAAAAAGTCAGAGGGCTGTCAGGGGAGAGGAAGTGCGAGCTGATAACCCCGGAGGAGGAAGAGTTTGACTTGAGAGGGTGGCTCAGGCTGCAAGGTTGGGTCCCTTTGGCTTTCAAGCTGGAAAGCGGGGAACCAGAGCGGGGCGTCCCGATTTCATTTCGGCAACGCGCCACAAGAGAGCCGTCTCCCGTCCTGCTCTTTAGAAACCAGAGCAGGCAAAGTTAACCGGGGCCCCGTTTAATCCCTCTGCTGTGCAACTTTTAACGACCGACACGAGGCTTTTCTAATCAGGGATCTGACAAGAGGTTAAAATTGGTACTTAGGCACGGATGGGCATTTTGTTGGCAACGTCTGTAGTCATGGGGGGGAAAAAATGCCATCAAAAATCAGAGGTCCGAAGGATTTGTTGCGGTACACACGACCTCATAACTGCATAAGTTAACAAGAATCTGCAGCGCTTGGGCATTATATAAACTACCGGACCCGGGTTGCAAAAATCCTCAAGGTTTAAGGAGCCTGCGGGAAAAGAGATTCAGAAAACGACACTGCCATCTAGTAGTCATCTGGATGTTTGCAGCCTGGATCTAGGATCTAAGGAAGCTAATCTTTAAAATGTCTAAAAAAAATAAATAAAATAACACTATCCCACCCCCACCCTCCACAAAAATAACTTGCCTTGTTTAAATTGGTATTTTTCAAACTTTTAAACTCTTAAGATGTGTGGAATTCTGGGAATTGGTCAACACTGCTTTAAAGAAAGAGGTGTCAATTTTTTAGCAGCCAGGAGGGGCAGAAAGACTGATGTGGTTAAGGTGTGGAAATACCCCCCCCCCAGGTTCTGGTTCACCCTCTCTCTCTCTCTCTCTCTCTCTCTCTCTCTCTCTCTCTCTCTCAAATTCAAGATTATACGACAGCAGATTAGGAGGATATACCATTATGAAACAAACAATATGTTAAAAAGTTATGATATTTATGTTACTTACCAAGCACATTTACATTACATTAAAGTAACCAAACTGGCATGTCACAACTTTTGAGCATCTTTAAAGTTTGGAAATTGAAAGTTGAAAATTTTCATTCGCCCTAAACCATATGTTATAAAAGAAAAGAGCAAGATGGCTACGTATGTCTAAATAGTATTTTGGAAGCCTGACTGAACTATCACTTCAGTACTATGTTCAGGTAGTCCTCAATGTACGACTACAATTGAACCCAAAATTTATGTTGCTAAGTGAGAAATTTGTTAAGTGAGTTTTGTCTCATTTTACAATTTTTCTTGCCATGATTGTTAAGTGAATCACTGTATTCTTAAATTAGTAACACGGTTGTTAAGTGAATCTGGCTTCCTCGCTGACTTTGCTTGTCAGAAGGTCACAAAACGAGATCATGTGATTCATCGACTTCCTCTTCTTCTGCATCTGAGATAGGGCATAAACTATCATATTAAATGGTTGCCCGTGAAATCTAATTGATATTATTTGGTCATTGACTAAATCGACAAATATTGTCTCAATTATGTCTTGCTATGACTTGAGTATGTTATTATCAAATAATTGCATTATCAAATATAAATGGTATAAGAAGAAATTCAAATGTATACAATTTATGTAACTGAATCCCCAATCATGCTTTGATTTTGTTTAGATAAAAATAGTTTATGGTCATGTCTACAGAACAGGACTCACCCTCTGAGTCCATCACACTCAATTTATTCACCTTAAATGCCAGCAACACTTAGTATAAGATCACTGAGTAGTTTGGCTGGTGCCCATATTTTAAATCTGGCCAACCACCTTAAGATATATCTGGAAATGTATATAGCCTTCCCTGCTTCTTCACTTTTTTATTTTATCCTGTCTCCTATAAAATAGAGATAGTTCAAAGCCTTTTGCAATCAATGTCATGGTGCCTTTAAGAACATATATATTATAATCAGTTGATAAGGTAACTAGTATCTTAAGCCTTCCTTCCTGAGGGAAATGGATATCAGATGTCTGTGCAGTAGAAGCGGATGACTTTTATACTTATGAATCAGCTAGCTTTACGTGATATGGGGGAATCAAATGTTCAGACACTGAAAAGGAATCTTATTTCAATGTGTGAATGCTAATGTATTTGGCATTTATACAGGGATGGGATTAATGTACTAGATTGTAGTTAGATATGTGGGAACTGATAACAGAAATGGTAGGTGGTTGCTATCTATGATAATGATTGAAAACTGGTTACATATATTCCATGCATCCCACAACATGTCTTCATGACATGCAACTATCTCTAACTCAGTTGGATAGTGCACATTTTTATCTTTATACAAATTTATATCGAGAGAAACGGAAGTGGTTTGCTTGGGGTTTCTAATTGCTTTTGAATTCTCTGCAGTAGCTTGATTGGCAAGAGAACATGCAAATACTGATATATATTTTATGCTGTTTATATAATTCAGGGGAACTCAGATCTTTAGATTTTCAGGACTGGGCTGCCAGAATTCTTTGCTGCTGTCTAGTGGTTGTCCAGATTTTGCAGACAGATCTCATAAAGTAGTAACTGCAAAGTGATTGTAAAATATAGTACTGCATGCATGACTGAGCTTCCTTATTTCAAATAAAATCCAGTTATAAGAATATCCTTCTGATATTGTGCTTGCTTTTTATTTGGATCATGCCTGGCTTCTGTATGCAGTGGTGGAATAGTTCTGAAGCTCTATTTGAAAGCCTTGTTCATAAATCTGGACATTTGAGGAATGCCTGCAGCTGATAGGCCAATGATGACACCAGGGTTTCTTATATGAGCTCACAGGCTCAAAACTGAAACAACCATAGTCAGAAAGAATGCTTGGTCTGCCTGCAAGTATGTATGTATGTATGTATGTATGTATGTATGTATGTATGTATGTATTTATTTATTTATTTATTTATTTATTTATTTATTTATTTAATTTTTATACCGCCCTTCTCCTGAAGGACTCAGGGCAGTGAACAGTCAGAATAACATACATATAATGTGAAATAAAAATAATTTAAAATAATTAAACCAATTTGGCTCATCAATTAAGATCTTCAGCGTAGAATTTAGATAATCTGAAAAATTTATGCCAGTCCGGCTTGGTGAAATAGAAAGGTCTTCAGGGCATGACGGAAAGTACGGAGATCTGGGATCATTCATATCCCTGGGGGTATCCTGTTCCATAGGGCAGGTGCCCCCACAGAGAAGGCGCTCCTCCTGGGAATCACCAGCAGACATTGCTTTACTGACGGTACTCTGAGGAGGCCCACTCTGTGGGAGCGTACTGGTTGGTGGGAGGTTATCGGTTGCAGAAGGTGGTCTCGTAGGTACCCAGGTCCTAAGCCATGGAGCACTTTAAAGGTAAGAACCAACACCTTGAAGCGCACTCGGAAGACCACTGGGAGCCAGTGCAGCTCGCGTAGGAGAGGTGTTACATGTGAGCGCCATGTCGCTCCCATAATCACCCGGCCACATTCTGGACCAGTTGGAGCCTCCGGGTGCACCTCAAGGATAGCCCCATGTAGAGAGCATTACAGTAGTCCAGTCAGGAAGTGACGAGGGCATGAGTGACTGTGCATAAGGAGTTCCGATCTAGAAAGGGGCGCAACTGGCAAATCAGGCGAACCTGATAGAAAGCTCCTCTGGCCACGGCCGTCATATGTTCTTCTAAAGACAGCCGCGTGTCCAGGAGGACACCAAGTTGCGAGCCTTCTCTGTGGGGGCCAATGACTCGCTCCCAATAGTCAACAATGGTATCAGCTGGCTATATCGGGACACTGGCAGCCACAGACACTAGGTCTTGGAAGGATTGAGTCAGAGCCTGTTTCTCCCCATCCAGATCTGCACGGCTTCGAGGCACCGGGACATCACTGCAAGGGCATCATTGGGGTGGTCTGGGGTGGAGATGTACAGTTGAGTATCATCACCATAAAGATGGCACTGTACCCCAAAACCACGGATGAGCTCACCCAGCTGCTTCACATAAATGTTGAACAGAAGAGGCGAAAGGACCGACCCTTGTGGCACCCCACAAATGAGGTGTCTTGAATTCGACCTCAGCCCTCCTGCCAACACAGACTGCGACCGGTCAGAGAGATAGGAGGAGAACCACCATAGAACAGTGTCTCCCACTTCCAGCCCCTCCAGTCGGCACAGCAAGATACCATGGTCGATGGTGTCAAAAGCCGCTGAGAGATCTAATAGGACCAGGATAGAGGAGCAACCCCTATCCCGGGCTCTCCAGAGATCATCAACCAAAGCGACCAATGCCATTTCAGTGCTGTAACCAGGCCTGAAGCTGGACTGGAACGGATCTAGGTAGACAGTTTCATCCAGGTACTGCGGGAGTTGCTGTGCCACCACACTCCAACAACCTTTGCCAAAAAGCGAAGTTTGGAGACTGGACGGTAGTTTGCTAAAACAGCCGGGTCCAGAGAGGGCTTCTTGAGGAGGGGCCTCACCACCGCCTCTAAGTATAATAGTTCTTAACTTTGTTAGACCTGCCCCTGTCCCTCTGACTGATGATGACATCCTACTTCTCTGGGAAAAATCCAAGAGCTACATTCTCATGTACATCTTTGATGGCACCATTGGAAGTAAAACCAAAAGGTGCTTGAGGAATAGGTGGTATAGTTTGTGAATAGGTCTAGTGAATAGATAGGAAGTTCTAGTTATCAGTCAATATATTTTTCAGGAAATAACTTCATGGTGCAGTCCTCACTGAACCTTCCATAGACTGTTAACATATGTAAAACTGATCTCTATTGTTCATGCTCTAATGAGAGGGTAAATCTGAAAGATAGGACTGGGATGGAAATGGGGGGAGGAGTTTCCCCTTTCCAGTCATTTCTGATTCTAGGAGGCAGTGCTCATTTCCGTTTCTTAGCCGAGGAAGCCAGCTAAAGACATTTGTGGTCTGAAGACCTTTCCGTGGTCATGTGGCCAGCATGACTATCCCAAGGAGCAAAGAATGCTGTTACATTCCAACCAATGTGGTACTTGTTTATCTACTCACATTTGCATGCTTTCTAACTTCTAGATCTGCAGGAGGAAGTAACGGGAGCTTACCCCATTGCACAGTGCTCGGGTCTCAAACCCAGGGTG